GGGCATTGGATTCCCTGGAACTCGAGTTACCAGCAGCTGTTAGCCACTATGTGGGTGCTGGGAATCAAACTCAGGTCTTCTGCAAGAACAGCCAGTGCTCTTAACCACTGAGCCATCTCTCCAGCTCCAAAGGCTTTACTTTAAACATAAGCAGTTTCTGGAACAGATAAAAATACTAGAATTTATTTACTTAAAAAAATTTTAATATTATTTTTTTTTAACTGAGCATATGGTAGGGGTTTATTTACAGAAGAATGGGTCCCCACATTTAGAGCTTTGTGGTAAGGTCCATACTCAAATACAGATCCTGTGACCTCCCAACAGCTGCACAAAATGGTAAGAGAGGTGCCTCTTGGTGTTCTTAGCTTATATATCCTTAGCCCCTCCCCCACATGCAGCTAAGGTCTACTGACTGGGTGGGAGGGGTAACTGACTCCCCCCTCGACTCCTTGATGAGCATGGGAAGGTGGTCTGACTATAGTTTGCAGGCTTAGTGGTTGGAGGACATTTCCAGTTAACACTCCACCCTTCCTCCAGCTCTTAAATTCTTTCTACCAAACTCTTCCATAAAAGTCCCTGAGCCTTGGAGAAGGGTGGTAGATGTGGTTGATCTTCCTGTGAATTTACTTTTTCAAAATGCATCAATTTTCCAAGATTCAAGCAAATGAGTTATTGGAGAAAAAAACTGTACGGAAGCGAATTGGAGGTGAGTATGATCAAGATGCATCATATACATGTATGAAGCTGTCAAAGAATCAAAATATGTCCATTAAGAAAGTGAAGGAAGCCATGGTGGTACACACAGATAGTAGTGGTACTTGAAAGGCTGAGGTGTCAGTACTGCAGAGAGTTCAAGGCCTGCCTAGACTACACATAAGGAGTTCCAAGGTCTGGGCTACACGAAACTGTCTCAAACAACTTCTGCTGCATGGTAGTGCACGCCTTTAATCCCAGCACTTGGGAGGCAGAGGAAGGGGGATCTTTGTGAGTTCAAGGCCAGCCTGGTCTACATAGTGAGCTCTAGGACAGCTGGGGCTACAGGGAGACTCTATCTCAAAAAGACCAAAAAAAAAAAAAAAACCAACTTCTGTGAAAATTCTCAAAATGTCTCCTCAATATTCACTGAAATATGAAAATCCCCAAAACTAATAAAACATTTAATGAACTATGACAGGAGTCAAACTTTCTTCTGAAAGAGCCAGATAGTAACTAAATACTTTAGGCTTTGCAGGTACACGTGGTCTCTATTACATACTCACTGCTTTTTGTATGTATGTATATTATGTATGTATGTATTTATTTGGAGGGGGAGAACATGTGCTAAAGTGCACATGTGGAAGTCGGAGGACAACTTTCAGGAATCAGTTTTCTCCTTCTACCATGTAGATCCCCGGGCTCAAACACAGGTTGTCAGCCTTGACAGCAGGCCCCTCTAGCTTGACACCTTCTGTTACACAGTCATTGGCTTAATACAACTTTCCTGGAGTATAAACAACAATCCTGAGCAGAGTGTGTGGCTTACACTTAGAATCAGAATCCCAGAGGCAGAAGCAGGAGGACTGCTGCAAATTCCAAGCCAACCTGGGCTACACAGTGAGTTCCAGACCAGCCAGGGCTACAGAATGAGATCTTGTTTTAAACCATAGCAGTAAAATTCAGGTCACAAGCTAGAATTAGCTTTCCAGCTGCAGTTTGCCAGCTTGGGTTACACAGTGATACTCCATCTCAAAAAGTCTTTAAAACATGAAAACAGTAAGACCCAAGTGTAAATTGGTGAATTAAGTGAACCTACAATGCCCACACAAGTGCGAAACTAAAAGAAAAAATTATTGGAAATGAAAACCTTATATATATATTCAAGCAAAGGAATTCAGTAAAATAAGTTTTTCTTTTTTAAAAAAAATTTATTATTTTATGTGTATGAATGTACTGCCTGCATGTGTGTGAGTACACCCGTGTCTTACAATGCCCATGGAGGTCAGAAGAAGGCATCAGATCCCCTGAAACTGCAGTTACAGACAGCTATTAGCCACCACGTGAGTGCTAGGAATCGAACCCAGGTCCTCTGCAAGAGCAGTCAGTGCTCTTAACCACCGAGCCATCTCTCCAGTCTCATAAGTTTAATTTTCTAAGCATTGTCTAATATAAATATCCAGTTTGGACCTCCATAACAAAATTTATACACATATTAAATATCATCAAATCATACCAACTTAGGTTTATGTTAGTGAAAGTGAAAGCACAATAAATTAATTATTAAGACCCAAAGAAAGTTTGGAGGCTGCGATGCAAATAAAATATAAACAATCATTTTTTTTCCAAATCTCTGATCTGATTTTTTTCAGATGTATCTACCTGAGTACATACAAGCTTTATATAGATATAGACATGGTCTTTAATTTAAAATGAGAAAGATATATGCCTACAGACAAAGATGCTTATTAGACAAAAAAGACAAATCACACAATACTATGTATACAATTCATCTATAAAAGCAAAAAATGTCATTTGTTGTCTGTGTGCACACACAAACTGTTAAGGAAGAGACTCCCAACAATTTCTTTGAAAAACAAACGAATTTTATAAACATTGGGGAGATTCTCAACAAGTCTTGTCTTTTCTTGCTATGCCCATGTTAAGAATAAAATGTGAGATACAATCCATGCTATTTCATGGGCTGAGGTGGCTCAGCAGATAAAGGCACTTGCCCACAAGCCTAACACAACCAAAATTTGGTCCCCAGATCCCATGTGGTAGGAGAGAACCAACTCCCACAAGTTGTCCTCTGACCTCCCACACCTGCCATGGCACATGCACGCACGAGTACAGACACATACAATGTAAAAAAATAATAAAACTCATGTTTGAAAATCACTTCTACATCTTCATTTATTCTGATAAATTCTGCTAGATTTAATTAAAAACAAATACTTCCCAGGTCAAAGAGAATTCTAGTAAGGGTTATTTAAAAAAAAAAGGGGGGGGTGCATGAAGATGGGAGGATGTGCTAAGGAGGGTCTGAGGGGAGTTGGAAAGGGAAATAAGGGGGTGGGTATGATCAAAATATACTGTATACATGTATGAACCTTTCAAGTATTTACAAAAATGCTGCCAGGCATGATAGCATGCACTTTTAGTCCCAGCATGGGCAGGGTCAGGGGCAGAGGCAGGCGGATCTTTGTGAGTTCAAGGCCAGCCTGGTCTACATAGTGAGTTCAGCTGGAGCTACAGGGAAACCCTGTCTCAAAAATAGCAAAAATACTTTTTAAAAAAATTATATATGTATTTATTTATTTATGCATGTGGGAGGTGCATTCCCATCATATCAGTACTTGGGAGGTAGAAACAGAAATATCAAGAGTTCAAGGCAAGCCTGGGCTACATCAGACCTTGACAAAAACCAAAAACCCAAACCAAAAGCTCTCTCACCCATCCCCAAAACTGAAATTTTTAATATTTATGACAGGAATCAACAAACGTTTTCTTAAATGCCAGAGAATAAAAGCTTCAGGCTTTACAGGCACACATGGTCTATTATATATTCACTAGCTCTGCTTACATTTTAAGAGTATAAAAAAATGTGAGCAGGGCATGGTGCTCACACACATAATTTCAGCACCAGAAGGTAGAGGTGGGGAGGACTGCTATGAGTTCCAGGCCAGCCTGGGTGAGAGTGAGATCCTGTCTCAAACAACAACAAAATTCTTAACTAAGTGTTACACAAAAACAGGTCACAGGCTGGAATTGGCTTGCCCACCAGTTTGCCCAACAGTGATTTATAACAACAAACCAGCACATGGAAGTGTGCTATTTAAGTATTTTATACCAAAGGCATGAAAGGTCACAACAGGGCCAGATGTGTTTTATATTAAATAAGATGGCATTATACTGATTCAAATTATAAGCTGCCTGGTGTGGTAGTGCACACCTGTAGTCCCAGCACTTGGGAAACAGAGGCAGGTGGATCTCTGTGAGTTCAAGGCCAGCCTGGTCTACATAATGAGTTCCAGGCCAGCTGGGGCTACAGGGAGACCCTGTTTCAAAAAGACCAAAATATTAATACATAAATAAAACTAAAATTATAAGCTGATTAAATATACATTGAATTCTAAATGCTTGACAAGGAATTGGAAGGATGAAAAACACAATAATCAGAATTTATAGCATTCATATTATATATAAATACAAATTCATTATATAGCAATGTGTATGCATCAAGCACACATATTCACTTGGAAAAATCAGCTCAAACTTGAATACTAGACATCAATACTCAAATTTCCTTTCATGATAATTAAAATCATTCACACATTCAAGTAATCAAACTAGTTTTAGATGTCACCGACCACTGGAAATTAAGAACAGAATTTAGACACTGGCAGTAATTTACTTGGTTTTAACTTTTTAATTTTAAGGATTACTGTACAGCATTAATCAACAAGTCTGGCTTGGTGGCCCACACTTTTAATCCTGACACTGGGGAGGCAGAAGGAGGCAGACCTCTGTGAGCCTAAGGCCAGCCAGAGTTAAATGGTAAGGCCTTGTTTCCAAAAAATAAAATTTAAAATAGATCTGTTTTTTTAAATTTCTTAATATTTATTGTATCTACAACTACTGATCACTATACGACCTTTTACTTCTAAAAGACAGCTTTTCTATATTTAATTTAATCTAAACTCAAAAGATTCTCATATCATTTGGCTGCTACTACCAAATGTAAATCTCATTATGAATAAGAAATTGGGTCACATTAAAAGTCTAAGCTGAGCTGACACGGTAGCACATGCCTTTGATCCCAGCACTTAGGAGACAGAGGCTGGCAGGTATCTGTGAGATTTAGGCCAGTCTGGTCTACGTGGTAAGTTCCAAACCAGTTGAGGGCTACAAGGAGACCTTATCTCAACAAAACAAAACAAAACAAAACAAAATGTAAAAAAGTCTAAAATGAAAATTTCATCCCACAAAAGTAAACGAACAGCTTAATATAATAATAATCTTACCTAGACTGGTAGGTTTTATCAGTTCATCCAGTAAGTCATAAAATGGTAGCTTTTGAAGTTTTATATCCGGATGGACTGGATGAAGAGCTGATGTAAGATGTGGGAGTTCCAGTTCATGTTTAGGTCCCAGAAGAGAAACAGGGAGTAATGGTGAAGATGCAGGGTGACCATCATAAGTGAGCTGTGGAATGGTGGATGGAGACAAAGTTGCTGGCATAGGACTTGAATGTACGTTGGGGATAGACAAGTCCGCAGGCGTCATAATTTTCTGGGGGAACCGCCGCCTGTAGAGTTCTTTAATTTTCATTTGTACAGCAGGGCTACAACCAGCCTTTAGCAAATGCAGGGCTTTTGTGAGAAGTTCGTGTTTGCGTCCGTGCTTGTTCCTCCCAGCGTAGCCCAACAGTACTTGGAGTTCAGAAACTCTAAGGCTCATAACCATTTGCTTAGAGAAAAAATAAAATGTAAAGCATTAGTATCCAGAAACATAATTTACAATATTAAAGTTTTTGTTCCAGACCCTCTATGGTGGTTTGCTTAAACCAGCCCATTTGCCATCCTGTTCCAAACTTTCAAATTTTAACCAATTAAATAAACAAGGCCAATTTTAAAGGTATTGTTCATAAAGTAATACACTATGCAGAACCATAGCTCACTTTATCCTATTGTTCTGATGAATTTACCAGGCACTTAACTGATCCTCCAAAAGAGATACTATGGGAATAGTAAAGGGCAATAATGTACCCCAAGAACACACTTGTGCTTTTGGTAGAAAACACTGTGAGTATATACGAAACAAACAGCCAAGCTCAAACAGCAGACATATTCTTGAATATTGCATGTTAGTAAGTACTGCTTTTTGTACTAACTCTGGAATTTGAGAAGCTTAAAACTACTCTCCTTTTTGGACCAAATACTACCACTGGTATTTCTTACAGACTGTCACTTAAGTCTTTACAACTCACAAGGTGTTATCCTAACCTCCCCTAGGGACACACAGCTAACTTTAAGGACTGCAACACAGCTGTAACAGATTTTAGAGCCCACACTTTCCACCAAGCCAGTAGGAAATTGATCTGTATACTAGAATATTCAAGCAACAGTACAGAAACAACAAAACACTCTACCCAAATCCTACAGGTATTTTTCTTTTCTTGATTATTAGCAGAGGTTGTAAATAATTACTGTGATGCCAACAGGGTATCATTTTCTCCCTACTCATCAAAATGTCCTAATGGGACACAAAATAGTTGAAAAAAATGTTTAATATTTATTTAAAAGAGAACTGCCAGGTGTAGTGGTACATCTTTAATCCCAGCACTGGAGGAAAAGGCAGGCATTCTGTGTGCATTCAAAGTCAGCCTGGCCAACACAGCAAGTTCCAGGTCATCCAAGGCTACATAGTGAAAGCCGTGTGTGTTTGTGTGTGTGTGTGTGTGAGTGAATGAATGGATGGATGGATGAATGAATGAGTGAATGAATGAATGTAGAGCCAGCAAGATGGCTCAATGGGTAAACATTCTGCCATCAAGCTTGATGACTAGAGTTCAATCGCTGGGGACTCACATGGTGGAAGGAGAGAACCAACTCCCAGAAGTTTTCCTCTTAACACTAGCTATCATAATGGCAAATATTTGTTCTAAAGGAGGCAAAAACAGTATTAATTTTAGAGACAACTATCTTTCCCTTTAATCCAACTCTATTCTCTGTGTCACAAACAAAACCAGCAATTCGGTAATTACCAGTGATGGTAACTTTGTTCTTAACTCATAAGTACAAGATTAAATGTAGCACAGACATATTATTGCTGTATTTTTATGGAATACACTGACAATTTACATAAAATAAAATCTTTTGCTTAAAGAATCAAAGAAAAAGTTAAATGACAAAATAAAATTGACAGCTATCAATTACATTTTGACTGCCTCAAAAAAGCCAAAGTAATTTATGTCATGTTAATTAGCAGAGGTGCTAAACATTACCATTGAAATCTACCCGATGACTTGATAGACGTATACACAGGTGCCAAGGATCCGAGTGCAACTGATTATGACTAGTATTAATCAGATACATACAGATTAGAGAACGCATGAGCCAACATCTCAGTGTTATTAGCAAAAACAATGAGTCTTTTCTGTAAGAAAGACTCATTTTAAAGGTTAAAAACTCATTCAATTTTATGTCCTACTGGGCTTATACTGAGTTCAATATTGTATAACTATTAATTCAACAGCAAATCTAAAAATTTTATAGCCACTTTTGAAAGAGATGTATCTTTGCTCTGGAAACTGTTATTGAGTATGTTAAAGCTATGATGAAATCCTCCTTCTAAAAAATTTTTTTAAAAATTAAAAAAAAAAAAGCCGGACGTTGGTGGCGCATGCCTTTAATCCCCACACTCAAGAGGCAGAGGCAGGCGGATTTCTGAGAGTACAAGGCCAGCCTGGTCTACACAGTGAGTTCCAGGACAGCTGGGGTTACAGGGAGACCCTGTCTCAAAAAAGACAAAAAAGGCAAAGCCACAGCTAAAATCATACTTCCATAGCATGTGCTCAAAAGACAGCTGCTATTATCAAGTCAACTCTCCAATTTTTGCTTTCTTTTTATAAATAGGATTCATCATTAATTATGATTTTGAGGCAGAAATTACCTTTTATTTTTTAGCATGGGAAACAAAGAAACCTGCTGAATGTCCACAACTAATTCTACTTCAAATACATTTTCACATTTAAACAGTGACATTTAGAGAAAAACAAACCACATGCCTTTTAATGGGGAAACAACCAGAAAAGTCATCAAAGATTATTTAGCTTCAACTTCTTCGAGCTTCAGCATTTTGGCCTCAAAAACAGTTATATGGTTAAGATGTGTATGAGTCAAATGAAGCATTCACTGCACCTCAAAACCTTGTTCAGTAAAGACCAGGTGCTTTCCACTGCTATTATTGAGCAGCTGTTGCATACTCTGAGGACTGTAATAAGCACACAGTATTTTAAAGAACTGAAGAAGGGGGCGGGAAAAACACTGAGCCATCTGAACATCACTCAACCGAAAAACTGCACAGCAGCTTGAACACACATGCGGAAGTGTTGACAACACACAGGAAAACTAAGCACTTCAATACTTCTGAGATGTTGAAAGGAAATACATGTTAATCTGCCATGTGCTTAAAATTCTGTTTGTTAGCACCACAATAAATGCGTATTTACAACTAAGGCTGATATCAATCACTTTTGCTATCAGCAATCATCACCTCCTTGGGAATTCCAACACTGCAGACTACATCTTCCAATGACATGGTTCTTAACTCCTAGGGGATTAAAAGTGACTGAAAAGTATATGTATTCTGTTAAAGAAATCCTGAAATAATTTTTTTGATCAGACAGACATGCACACAATTTTTAAAATTTAAAATATTTTTGTTTTTAAAAAATATTTTATTTTTTTCAGGTATGATGGCCCACGGTGGTAGCAGAGGCAGGCAGATCTCTGTGAGATCAAGGCTAGCCTGTTCTACTGTTCAGGCTAGATGTAGCTACCAGGAGACCCTGTCTCAAACAAACAATAGAAAAGAGGAAGGGAGGGAGGGAGGGGAAAGATTTTGTTTTTATTTATGTGATATAAATGTGCATTTGGGTGCTTGAGGAGGTCAGAAGAGGGCCTCAGATTCTCTGGCGCTAGAGTTACAGGCAGTTGTGAGCAGCCAAATGTAGGGGTTGAGAACTGAACCCCAATCCTCTGGAAGGACAGCAAGCATGCTTAACTGCTCTGCTCTCTCTCCAGCCACTCATATACACAATTTTAAAAAGCCAAACAGTGAGTCGGATGTAGTGGTGCATGCCTTTAGTCCCAGCACTTGGGAGGCAGAGGTAGGCAGACCTCTGTGAGTTCAAGGCCAGCCTGGTCTACATAGTGAGTTCCAGGACAGCTGGGGCTACAGGGAGACCCTGTCTCAAAAAGACAAAAAAAAAAAAAAAAAAAAAAAAAAAACAAAATTTTGAAAAAAAAAAAAAAAAAAAAAAAAAAAAAAAAAAAGCCAAATAGTTTTTAAAAAATATTTTATTATTTTTATTTTAGGTTATTTGAGTTTATGGTCTGCATGTACATAAGTGTACCCATGTTGTGCGATGCCTGCGGAAGTCAGAAGAGGATGTCAGATTCCCTGGAACTGGAGTTACAGACAGTTGTTAGCTGCCGTGTGGAGGTTGGGAATAGAACCAGTGCTCTTAACCACTGAGCTATCTCTCCAGCCCCCCAAAAGCCAAATAGTTTTGTAAGAAAAACAGCAGTCCCTTGAGCCAGGTGTGGTCATGCATGCCTTTAATTCCCAGGATTCGGGAGGCAAAGGCAGGTGGATCTCTGGGAGTTCAAGGCCAACGTGATCTATTATATAAAGTTCTAAGCCAGGTGGGGCTACAGGGAGACCTTGTCTCAAAAAGACCAAAACAAACAAACAAACAAACCAGCAGTCCCTTGTTACACCCCTGATTTTAGCTATTTCTGCTGGGGTTCTATTCTTTAAAATTTCATTTCTTTTCTTCTTGTTTCTTTTTCGGTCTTTTTGAGATAAGGTCTCCCTGTAGCCCCCGCTGGCCTGGATTCGCTATGGAGACCAGGCTGGCCTCGAACTCACAGAGATCCACCTGCCTCTGCCTCCCAAGTGCTGGGACTAAAGGTGTACGCCACCACGCTCGCCTAAAATTTCTTTATTTTTATTTTATGAAAGTGCACCCCTGTGTACACTGCTTGCAGAAGCCAGAAGAGGGTGTAGGATCCCTTGGAGCTGGAGTAACAGTTGTTGGCCCCCATGTGGATGCACGGAACTGAACCCAGGTCCTCTGCAAGAACAGCCAGTGCTCTTAACCACTGAGCCATCTCTGCAAGCCCTCTTCTGGAGTTTTTCACCATCATCAGTACAGCTGTTCCTTAATTTCTTCTTTTTTCTTCTCCTGGTGTTTTTGAGACAGAGTGTCCTTGTAGCCCCAGCTGGCCTGAAACTTACAATGTAGACCAGGCTGGCCTTGAACTCAAAGCACCACCTGAATCTGTCTCCTGAGGACTGGGATTAAAGGCAGCTTTAAGTTTTCCTTGACTTCCAATTAAAAGAGATAACAGTTTTTAGCTAACCTGCCATCTCCCCCATCCTAATTTGTAGCTGGATCAACTGTCTATGCTTACATTATTACAATAGCTAAAGGTAAAACTGCATCACTCTTTTTCATGTAACTTTTGCTTTCTTTGTATTTAGTAACTGTACCATTTTTATGTCTAGTATTCTATATATGTATTTTCATCTGCAAACTCAAACTTTCCTCTCAATATATTCGATTATATGAGGTAAACCATTTTAACTGAGCTGCTTTTGTTTTGCATGCTTTATTTTCTTTTCTGATTTTGGTTTGTTTGCTTTGTTCAGACAGGGTTCTCCCTATATAGAGTTCCTAT